AGAGAGAGAGAGAGAGAGAGGTTTATTTGATATAAAATACAAAAAACCTTTGCAGCACCAGTGCAGTTTCTGTACACAAAAATGTCCTTTAAATATTATCAGGACTTAAGCATTATACATTACAAATGAGAATTAAAACTGGACTGCCTCAAGTCTGAATCCTGGAAAATCACTAATATTGTGTCATGACTTACAATTTTATTACAACATTAAAATTTACTGTCATTCAGCAAGCAAACACAATAAGGTAGTGTACTGTTCAGCAAATGCTGTGTCTGGCACTTAAACAGTGTCAGCTTCCTACTGTTCCTATTAGTGTTCTATTATGTACATCCCCTTTGTGATAGCAGCTAGCTATATAAGCACCTTGCAGGCTACAATGTCGATCATGGAGTTTGGCAGGCCCAGTTTGGAGGCCATGACCCTCCAGTCATTGCCCTCTGGATGAGGAGGGTCCAGGATGTTCCCCAGCTTGATCAGGACTTCATACCGAATGTCGCAGGCACGCTTCACCTTCTTGGGTACTAGGTCCTAGGAAAAAAATGTTGTGTTTCCTCTTTCAGTCCAGAAAAAGTAGGGTCAGTAGATAGGTAATCTTTTTCTTCTTTTTGTTTTAGAATTTAGTGATATCTATATAGAGGTCCAACTTATACAATACAGTTTAGCAAAGTAAAACTTGCATGAGGACACTTTCATTGTCAATGTCAATGTAATCATGATACTGCTATTCTATTGTGAAATGCTACATATCTGTACTACAGAATTGTTTCAACAGCAATAAACTTAAAGCACCACAAAAACCTTATCTTATTAGCACAAATTTAGATAAATTGACAGTACACAAAAGAATATGAAAGTGCAATGAATCTTTCTATCAAAAGTATCACTGACAAAAACAAATTAAAATGCAAAGAACTTAAGCACAACGTTACCTGTGCTTGCTGGTAGATATCCATCTGGTTTGGTGGCCCTTCTTCTGCCATGTAGTAACTGTTTATTCTAATTCACTCTTTGCTTTAAATAAACAAAGAAAAATCTGTTTCATTCATTATTGTTGACACTGAAGACAGGAAATGACATAACCTTTTTTCTGGGAATTTTCTGGGACCTTTGACCTAACTTCCTGTCAGTGCCCAGACATGCCTATCATGTGGAAACACAATCAACACTGACACAATGAAAACAAAACCTCTGTAAATTATATTTCTATATTTATAGTTACACTTACTAGTATATATTAAGAGAGTACATACGTCTAATGTGTTAATAAATTTGTAAATTTATATTATATGCTTTTACGACACCAGGGAGAATAGTGCAGAATATGTTATAATTATGTATTAATACTCACTAATAGAGATCCATCAAATAAACAAGTCACAGTTTAACTTTAAGTCAATGATGATAGTCAAATCAGAATGTTCTGTTTGGTCATAACAATATGAGTCACGATTAGTTAGAGCAAGGTCCTTGATTAGGCAATGTCGTGATCGATTATTGGTTTTACCAAAAGTGAAAGTTAAAATTACGTCAGCGACTAAAAATCTTAGTCGCTGACGAAATTTTAACTTTAATTTTTAAAAGGATTATGAATGCCCTAATCACTACGACGCAATTTGACGATAACGGTAGACCTTTCTATTACATGCGTATAGCTACTAGGATAAAACGGTAACATAATTTCTTACCGCAGCTGTTTCCCTCAAGTTGGCGTTTTGTTCAGTTTGCAAACCACGCACTTCTCCGTTTGGCTCTAAAGTTGGCCTCGTGGAACCCTGTTCTTCTGACCTAAAAGTAAAGGTACGTCCTTACATCCCAATCTAAATAGGGATTAAAGAACAAATCCCGCGGTAAGTCAGCAAATAAGTCCTCTATTCAAGTAAAGCTTGTTATTGTCACGGCTGTAAACGCTGTAGTAAACGCGGTCGCGCCAAACTCTCGTGACCCTTGACCGGACGGTTACACTAACGTTTAGGTAAAGTTTATTATTGTCTGACCAGTTTACACGATAAACAGTATTTATTACCACTTTTCTAGATGCAATTCGCATATATAGATTAAGATTATGTATATTTGACGCATAAATTTGTTATCATTAACAGAAACTGGTTTGCTGGATATTAGGCATTCATTGAAATGTCCCCTTCGAGTGCATAGTTTATTCTGCCATGATGTAATGTTTATTACCTTACTTCCGGGCGGGTTTTCCCCTATAGTGCTTTCTGGAAAGTACCTGAATAGCTTTGTCCGGACTTGAACAGGCATGCCATTAACGGCAAAGTTGTCGATATATCATTTTACCTCAAGATTTACAATCATCTACTACATCAAACATACCTACTTAGTTCCTTACTACTGACATAAAGATTATTTATTTATTTTTTATTATATGTAAAACTATCGCGAAAGTTCATCGGTATTAAATTATGTTTAAACTTTTTTTAAAGGAAGACCAGAGTGACTGGTCGAAAGCTCCCTCTAGGTGAGAGAACTTAATTGTGATGGATCTAAAATTTTTCTTCACCCCTTTTTACTCAGACAACAACTACTGCTCCTACAAGCTGCATGTTATTCGTACTATGGTTCTACAACTTCTAGGGCTATTCATGCAAATTAAGCAAAAGTACCATAAACTGACACGAGTTTTTGT